TCAATTCGTGCATCACTGCTAGCAGGCAGTGATATTACAGATATATTACAGTCTGTACTGAACATATTAAAAATAATGAACCTTCTAAAAACCTTCAAGTTATAATCAGAGCAAGGCTGTTGAGCTCCAACACCCAAAACAGTTTGCAAATAACAGTGATATCCACAGAGCTAGTAAAAGCTGTCAGCAGACATACCAAATGTCACCTAATTATCAATGTACCAGGAGGAAATAAAGGAAATAAAGAGGAAATAATAACAAACCAAAACCAGCCAGTAGATTTGACTGGAAGACAAGTGATGCAAGTGAAAGGCATCACATCACACAACTAACGACTCATAATAAGGGTGAAGTGTCATGCACACCACACAAAAGCATTTGGAGCTGACTATGGGGAACACAGAAAAAACATACTTAGTAACAGGTCAGTTGGAGCTTTGACCTGGAAATCAATGAGACACAATAAATGACTTTCAATGTGATCTTTGTTGTCACTCTGGAGCTGGAACTGCAAATTGCTAGACAAAAGAAAACCTGCCACTTCAGATAACCATTGGGCTGCTCAGAATATAGTGGAATTATTTCTGAGATAGCTGTCTTAGATGTTTGCAAAGTTCAGTATAGACCATTAAGAAACAGAAAATGCTTTAATTGCTACAGTGGTAGCTCTACTATGAAAGGATCCAGTCACTCATCACTAACACAGTGCCAAAGGGTAAGGATAAAGGAAAAGGTGGTTGTGGCCAATTTTTGTCAAAGGGAATTGCTGATAATGTGGAAGTGAAATCATAGAAAAGGCTTTCCCTGTTACTTTGTCACCTTATTCACAGTGCCTTGAGGGGTCAAGCCTTCTTAGCTTCCTATAATGTGCCATGGAGATGGTTTTGGGTTTTGGGTTGTATTTGTGGTCTTTTTTTGTTTGTTTGTTTTTCCTGTTTCCATGTTCCCCAGGGAGGACAGGTAGGCCTTCTCACCTAGTATCAATGGATTCCCCTCTACTATATCATTTTAAGCAAGTGTAATTTCTTTCGGATGTTGACTCTTCCTCATTTTTTTCAGTTAACAAAAGGCATATCCTGTTATGACTATGTTCTACTTATCCTGTGCATTTGAACTTTGCCTAAACCTTCCTTTCTATGGAAATTTTTTAAAGTGTGTGTGGCAGGTTCTTTAATTCATTTTTAGCTGTAGCACAATATTGAATTTGGCTGCCTGATTAAGACTAACATTTACATGACATTTAGGGTACACTATTTTCTAGACTGTCTGTCATGAGTTGATGGATGGAAAAAAGCCTGGATGTGAAGTTTTGTATATTCATCTGGAAGAAGGGAGTGGGGACTGCTTGGATTGGAAGGGGGAACAATTTAGGGCTTAGATAGTGCTACTCTCCTGTGCATAAATATTTGGGGAAAAACATCTGAACAGAACACATATTACTACCCTGCACCCAGATCCTTTATCCCTTTAGATGAATACATCTTTATTAAAAACTCTGGAGTATTTTTTAACATTTATATACAAAACCAATATATTTAAGAACTGTGGCTGGGAATTTCAATTTGAGTTTAAGGTATTCAAATCTTAACAAAATAGGGTTTTGGCACCCATTTCCCTTTGCAAATTTAGTTTTCATTCATGCACTAACAGTACCTGCATATGACAAACCAAATAAAAGTTGCTCCCTATAAACAAACAATTTCAGTCTCAAATTCGCCATATTGTTTTAATAACTTATTGTATTTGCTAGATACTAATGTTAAGACAAAATGCTAAGAATTTATTTAAACACTAGACTCTATGTGGACTGTTGCTCACTTGCAATCAGATTTTCCCATGAGAACTTGAGAACTGCTTCTGAAATGACCCACAGGAAGCTCTACCCGTTTGTCAAAGGATACTGTCTGGTATTAATTTTAGTAAGTTTTAAAGAGAAAAAGAGAGACAGAAGGAAATGGGAGGAGGGAATGGGCTTGCATTTTATCTTGATCCTTGTAACAGACATCGCATTCTGTGCCAAATAGACATATTTGATTTAAAAGCAAAAACTGCCCTATGATTTTGAACTCTGATGAGTTAAATTCTTAGTCCATCTTCCTAGATAGTTAATGCAATACAAAAACAGGCAAGGGAGCTGATCTGGAGATAAGCAAGTACACTCCTTACTTCTTTGCTTTTTCTCGTTACTCAACCAGAATGAGATGAGAGCAACAGCAGGTTATGGAAGACAGCTTTACAGGATGAGTCTGTGTCTCACTTAGTATTTATTCTAGGACTTGAAACTAACCATGCTCCATGCCAGATGAACAAGACAGAAGTAGCAAACAGGGTGGCCCTAATAGCCTGCCTTCTCCTCCATTTCCAAAATATCCCCATTGTGCTTTTTACCCAGGTACATTATCTTTCAGATAGTGTTATACCTAACTGCTGTGATCAGATACCTTTCCTGCTTGTCACACTAGAAGATCTTTTTTTAGTATATCTTCAGCCTATTTTGTCCTATTGCAGAGCACGGGGAAGAACACATAAATGTACAAATACAGATATTTGTACAAAAGTATAAAGACAAAAGTACAAAGACATTTTCCTGCTGAAATCACAAAAAAAATCACATTATATTCCACTTCTGCCACTTTATGTCCATTCCAATCGTACATTTGAAAATGCATATTACAGGTATGACTTGCATGTACAGGTATGTCAACCCAATGTAATAAACACCCTTCCACACACTCTACTGAAAGTTTGGCTCATTCTGTTCTACATGTGTGTACAGTTCCAAAATAAATAAAACTAATAATTAAAAAGTTGGTCTGATTCTGCATATGCATGATGACAGCATGCTTAGTAATGTGATCTTATCTTTTTTTCTTGGGACCATTATGGAGTCTTTGCCATGTCTCCTCAATCTTCCTGCCTTCTGCCTCATCTTTGTCAGTATGACTTCTTCCCAGCCTTTTTGCTTTCCTTCTTTAGGGGTTTTCAGGCTTGTCCTTTTCACTGTATCTAGATAGTCTATCCTTAGGCTGAGCAACTTTGAGAACAGCTGCTCTACTGCAACTATGGGACACAACTGTTTTGGTTGCGGGTGTTATGCTCTTAGGGCTGCAGGTCCTGTCTCTGCATCTGATTTAGTAAATAGTGTTCAATGGACGTGAACTCTGGCCTCCATGTGTTCCTGAACCTCTTTCAGACTCAGAAATCTTCCTCACAGGAAACATAAGTTTTATTGATCTTTGGCTGTGCCTTGCAGCAATGCAGATCTGTGAAATATACTGGACTACACGAAGGGGAAATGTTCTGTAAGCACAGTTTTCTTCCCCACAGTCATGTGGAACTACGTGAGACAAGGTTTCAGAAAGTGTTAGCAGAAGTGTGTATCCTGGTTTCAGCTGTAACAGTTATCTTTCTTCCTAGGAGCTGGTGCAGTACTGTGTTTTGGCTTTAGTCTGAGAATAATGCTGATAACATCCCAACGTTTTAGTTGCTGCTGAGCAGCACTTACCCCGATCAAGAACTTTTCAGTCTCATGCTCTGCCAGTGAAGAGGGGCACAAAAAGCCGGGAGGGAGCAGAGACAGGATGCCTGACCCAAACTAGCCAAAGGGGTATTCCATACAAGAGCACATCATGCCCAGGATATAAACTGGGGGAAATTACCTGGAAGGGATGAAGCACTGCTCTGGTCAGACTGGGTATAGATCAGTGGGTGGTGAGCGATTGTACTGTGCATCACTTGTGTTTTCTGAGCTTTCGTTTCTTCTCTTGTTGTTTCTTCTAATCATCATTATTGTTATTGTTGGTATTCTTTCTATTATCACTATATTTTACTTTATTTTAGCTATTAAACTGTTCTTAACTAAACCTGTGGTTTTTATATTCTTTTGATTCCCCTCCCATTCCCACCGAGGGTGGGGGGAAAAGAGGGTGTAAGAAAGAGGCTGCATGGTGCTGAGTTACCGGCTGGGGTTAAACCACAACAGTGTGTAGCAACAATGAAGTTCTTGGGGTTTAAAAAAAATAAGTACCCTGAATTGTCTTTGTATTATTGATCTGTTTAGATCTCTGAAACAATTTTCTTTCACAAATTTCTTTACCATTACACTATTCATCCTAAAAACTGAACTACAGAACAGGGCTTTTTCTCCATCTTGTTTTTTCCTGGCTAATGCTTTGACATTCATTTTCAAAGACAACTTTAATTAATGAAGGGTACGAGACTGAACCATGTGTATCACTCATAGTTGCCAGAGAAAAATAAGCTCTGCACACACAGTGGTATTCTGTCAACTAGAATATGTGACATGTTGCAAAATACAAAGTCTTTGCCTGCAAAGGAATAATGATTCTTTGTTCTGAAAACTCAGTGTAAGAAAATGTACCCTATGAAAACGATACACACTGGGGTTTGTTAACTTAGCATAAGTCAAGAGCTTAAAAAAGAAATTGATTTTGGTTTGTTTTTTTTTTTTTTTTGGTCAGAGATGGTTGCAGGAATTAGAAAGTTTTATTTACAGATGCCATTCATTACAATCCCTTATACTGGAAAGAGCCATATGAAAACAACTCCCCTTATAAGCCCTACTTTCAGTCTTCCATTTCCCTTCTACAGAGCCTATAGCTATATAATAGCTTTGTATTAAGAAAATCTAACAATTATTTTATGTCTCTCCTTTGTTGTATTGCCCTTGCCACCTTCTGCACTACTATTCTTCTTGTGTTGCATCAGCCCTGGCACTAATCATAGAATCCCAGAATGGTTACGATTGGAAAGGCCCTTAATATCATCTAGCTCCAAACACCCCTGCATACAGGGGTATATTTCTTTCTTCAACTTTGCACTGCATTAACTGCATTTGGAATACCCTCATGATATAAACTACATGCATACCCATACAAAAGGAAAAACAGTTGAAATCATGTTAGTTATAATTCAAAGCACTAAAAAAAAAAACCCGAAAAAAAAACCTAACCCTCCCCCCCCCAGAAAACCACACCAAAAACCAAAGCAGGAAACACCAGAATGAAGATTGCCCAGGTGACAGCAGCATGACCCTAAAAGAAGTTAATAATAAGTTTCCAAAAAGTCTCAGAACTAATTGCTGAGAGCATAGGAAAAAACCCACTTGGGACTCATGGGTTCAAAGCAACATTCAGGAGAGCATTGTTTAGATAAACTATTTGATCCCTAAGGGCTTGTTTCCATCTCATTTCTTCTTGCACCTCCTCCTCCTCATGGCTTTCCTCTTATCCTGATGTTTCAAATCTCTGCTCCAGAGAATGAAAGACTCTAGAGATCCCTGGTGGACTTATGAAAAAATAAACTATGGAGAAAAACAATGCAGTTTTCCCTAATCTTGTTTTTGGAAACATCTGTGCCATTTAATCTGAAACATTACAATGAAAAATTCAGACTCAGACAGACATGGAAAATATCCTTATAAACAGCTCAAATTTGGCAACGTTAATTCAAATGAAAATAAAGCCTTATAAAGGGATCTCTTAGGAAACCTTGAATTTAAGAGGGGGGCATTTAACAGCTTTGCATGTAATAAAAGTCTACATAAAACCAGTATAATGACTCTGCATAACAAGCATCACAGCAACATGTTATGCATTTTTTTGTGGATTGTATGGCCTCTCTAAGCTCAATCTGTATGCAAGTAAGAAATAAAAGATTGTCCAAACTTAGAAGAAAACAAATTAGTAATGACAAAATAAAGACAAGTCTGGTGAAAACCTCAGACACCCCAAGCCAACCATTACTTTAAAAGCAAAGGAAATAAAGGAGGCAGTTTTTAATTACTAGCAGTAATCTGCATGAGTAAGAATTTCAGTCTAGAAGAAAATAATGCCACTAACTGGCAAGGCACTAGCTGTGTTTGTTGGCTTAGAAGCACTTTCTTTCCATTACTGAAAACCTACAAGTAGGATTCTCCAGCAACAATGTTATTTCCATCTTAAAAGATGAACATGAAACCTCAAAATCTATCAGATACACTCTATCAAACAACTAATAATCTTCACAGGCAAATCACTTAGAAATGCATTAGGTTTTAAGTGGAATGCATTTGCAAGAAATTCCAGTAACTGTCAGAGCTAAATGTTTCCTTAACTTTTTGTTTATGCACAAAAGAAGATAAAAATATTTAGAAGAGAATGAAGTTATGAGCCCAGAACATGTGCCATGGGAAATCTAAACCTGAATGCAGTTGAAAGACTGTCCAAAAGGGACTGACCCAAAGAATCCCTCCATCACACAGCAGTTGAAGAGGAAAACCAGGTGGGACATACTGAAATAAAACAAGTGTACTGACTTTCCTGGAAGACTCAGACAACATTACAGGAATATTCCAGAAAAATTTATTTTATTTCTAATGTGTTAGAAATAAATGCCTCTGTTCTAGTACCCAGCACATAACCAAAGCAGTGGGACATGTAGTCAAGTAATTAGTGCTGGGGAATTAAACCACTGCAGAGATGCTCTTCATTCTTAGAACTGTAACATCCCCTGCATACCGGGTATGGTGAGTGGGTCATCTCGGAAACTTGATTTCTCCCTCTCTAGTTGCATGCAGGAAGCTATTAAGGATCTTTACTCTGTCTTACAAAGGGAGTTAGCAGCAACAAAAATGAAGTAGTCTCTGTATAGCATCTGGCTACCCTGGAATGGCAAAACTTTACTGACCCCCTTCTCTTTAGAAAACAGTGACTCCCTAAATCCTACCCCTAAAAATTATTAGAGTGGTTAAATCTTGGAAAAGCCATTTTAGCCAAGGCACTATGATTTTTCTCACTGCAGTGAAAGCAGATGGATAAAAATTAGATCACTCTCAGCTGAAGCCAGTAAGAAACTGCCCCCAGTTTAAGTAGTTCTGAGGGGCAGTTCTTGTAACATTTAGAGGAGCAGCACCTGACCAACATCAAATGCCAATCAGCTGCATCTAGTGTGGACAGAGGATCCTTGAAAACCTCAGCAATGACCTGCTAATTGATACCAGAGTATGAGATATGTCTTGTGATAATTTGAGTGAATTTTGTGGTAAGGAATGAAGTTCAAATGAATTCCCTCTCTCCTGTAAAATTTGGAGAGCTGTCAGTTGCCCCTTAGGTTAGAAAAGGAAATGAAAGAAAAGTCTGAATTTTAGGACAATGAAATTACAGTCCCGCCTTACTCCATGTCCCTAATAATACTGTACATGTCTGCTTCCCAGCTGGATGAATAAAACTTAGAATCTAAATCAGGCAAAATACATGTGCCCATATAAGCCCTGTAACAAACAGGTAAGTACAGACCCTTAAACCTGCTAGCCAGTGCTCCCCACTGTTCTTCAGTATTGATTAAATATTGCTGTTTCCATACACTATTTGGCCAGGAAATTATTTTAAAACAAGGAGGGTAAATTCATCTTCCTGTATAAACTGTGCTCATTTGTTAATTTGTTCTGGCATTCAGGTGTTTGTCTGGCTCTCACAGGTAAGCACTGAATCACCTAAGAATGCGACTCTTCCCACTGGACCACAGAAGAGTCTATGCTCCCATTTATTCAGCAAATGCCAGTTTCTCAGTCAAACCATAGAAATCCTACGGATCCAGTGGAATATACTTCTTCAAATGGGTTCCTGAAAGTCTGTTTTTGTCATAAGTCTCTGGCAGTGAAACTTGGAAAAGCCAAATCAAATTTCTTCTTCATTCATCACAAAAGCAAAAATCAAAGCCATTGTAAAGACCAATAGAAAGTTGTCTTAATTTTAGTCAAGTGACAGGCTTTCCACTCACCTTATCAAGTGTGTGGAGTTTCTTTTTTTATGAGATTCTTTTTCATCTTTGCTGGAAAAAAAAAAAAAAAGAAAAAAAAAAGACTTTAATCACAGTACTTGATTTGCAATAAGGTCATATACAGTGTCTTAAAATTCCTGGAGAACTGCACAGCTCTGAAGCAGAGACTGAAAGAGGATCAATCTCTGGTTCTACTTATCCCTTTCTAAGGTTCTGTTTTCCTTAAGCTGTGGCTGGGTTGCTTGGCATAAAACTTCCTACTTGCAGTGCTTATCAATGTTTTCAGCAAAGTACTGAAGGTGGTGTACAGTTAGCAGACTTGGCATCTGAGTAAGTATTCTAGGCTATAAAGCAAAATCTAGCTACTAATTTGGGGTCCATCTTTTTTTTTTCCTCTCATGTAAGACCAGACATAGGTCATTTTGTACGAAAAACTATTCATGTGCTTAAAGCTAAGCATAATTTCAAGGAACTTGCTGTTTGGCACATACAATTTTTTTTGCCATATGACTTTATAATACATATTTACACCATATTGCTTCCAGTTACTGCTTCCAGTTTTCCCTCAACAACCCCTCCTCTCAGACCTCACAGAACAGAATGCATGTGGAAGTTACCCAGGCAACGAAAACAATGAATCCAACTTCATATGTATTATATGTAAACCAAAGAACACGTACGTGTGGTTGGATACTGTGTTTGCATGGCTCTCCAGTGGAAAACAGTGGATGCATGCCTAAAATCCTTACAGAAAAGGGAGGTTCAGTTTAAAAAAAACCATGGGGGTATGTGAGACTACAGTCTAGGTCATTATACCACTGTGTTGTAGTACTTTCATTAATAGCTCATGAGAGGGTCTTCAGGGACGCTACGTAATTTAATGTGTCAATATTGGGCATGCTAAATTGAATACTGTAATGAGTATTACTCTTAGGTTCTGTTTATTTTCAGACTATGAACTTAAAGCAACTGAGCTGCTGCTCTGGAGTCTGAGAAAGGTAAAAAGGAAACTTATGGACAGTGAAAACTACATCCATTCTTACCATGGTGTTTTGCAGGAAGACTCTTCACACAAGGCAAAATTAAATTTACATTCCTATTAAGATATAAACATTCTAACATTTTATTTTTAAAATAAAGCCATGCCTTTCTATGCTAAAGTTGATATTCTTAGTTTCACTGTTTTAAAAAGTACAAACCAGATTAGATGGAATGTAAGTTGTGTTTAGTTTCATGGACAACTACAATTCACCAAAAAAACTAATTCCTAACATACCAAGCACGTCTCTCCTGGATATGCTGCTGTCAGTTTCCATTTTTCTTGAAAGAGTTTTGAAAAAATATGAATTTTTGCAAACACTAAACACAACTGCAAAAAAAGAATTTTTTATGGTTTACAGGAAACAAAAACCAAATAAAGCAGGGAAAAGAAACCCCAAAACAAAACACCCAAGACCTGAAGCACTGTCAGCTTTGTCTGCAATATATTATTTTTTAAAATAATTAGGTTATATTTCCAAACATATTGTCACTTTGACTTTAAAAAATATTAAACTTTTTATTTCAAAATTTCTCTCCTATTCTAGATTAGTTTACAATTTGGCTAATCTGGATAATCTTGATTAGCATTTTTTGGCAATAATGATTGGTTTTTAATCCACCTTGAGTTGTGCCTGTGAAAGTGCATGTGCATAAAGGCATGTTCAGCACAGGTGGCGTAAAGAGAAGAGAATTAGTCTGTATGAAAGCTATGCTGTTTATAGCACAGTTCCTCACAGGTAGATATACAGAATAATACACTGACAAGAGAGCAGCTTTCAGGAATACTCACACGGTACCTCTCTACCACCAGCCCTCTGTACCATTCTCAGGACACCTGGTGCAGCATTAGAATTCAAAAGCACTTAAATTTGGTTGTGGAAGCAAATTAAAACTCTGGATTGTGATATAGCTCTGCTTCATTCCAGTTTATCTTGGTGAACCTTTTACAGGAAGTAAGAGAATTAAATGGAGAAAAGCCTGAAATCATCCATACAATCTGACCAAACCAGGGTTAGGGTGCTAGTTTTGGTTTCCTTGCAGAAGCAAATACTGTTCTGGTACTATGTGCAGCCACTTCTGTGCCAGCTGAACAGTACAGGACATCACCAAGAGCAGCAGAATGTGGACTTCACTCTCTTAGCGCTTTTCCCTAATTAGTGTGTATATCTGCAAATCAATTAGTTTAGAGGACTTACTCCTCAGGCAGCCACTGTGGCTCTAAAGTAGTATGGTAAACTCCATGGAGCAAACAGCTTTCAAGAAGGAGGTATGTCTGTAAAGAATAAAGAACGTTTCTCATGCTCAGTGTTGTCTTAACTGTGTGCATTGTGCATCTAAACCTAGATAGCTAAGAGACTTCATAGCAAAAGCATTTCCCATACTCTTTGGTATAAGACAGGACTTTTGCAACACTGCAGTCAGTATTGCAAGATGGTGCTCTTTAACAAGCTGCATATACAGTATGAAATCTGCGTATCTGCAGTTCACACACAGCACAAACATCAGATTTAACCAGGACAAATTGGAAAAGCTATTAAGCAATATTAATCAGTGACTACAAGTTGAAAAAGAGCTTCATAAGTCCCTAAAAAAGCACAATTATCAGGTTGTAGAAGAGGCTGAAATGCAATCTGTATTGTATTGATATTTTTTCTGATACGATAGGTTTATAGAAGTGCTTAAATACGTGTTTCCTGGAAGGATCCCAAAAGGGGATAGAAGTCCCCCTTCCTTCCAATTTTTCTGTTATGCTCATCTACCCAGCTGTGGTTGATCCCTAGCTTGCAGATGAGATGCGTACCTTTTAATTGTAAATATTCAAAACCTTTGGGAAGCAGAAAACGCACATTCTTTACCATACACAATCTGATTTTCCATTATAAAACTGATTAATATATTAGCCAAGCTTCTTGGCAGAAAAGCATAATGGGATGATATACAGAAAGGTCTTCAATGATCCACCGGTTTAATGAAAGGCATGAGGCCATTCAGAGGTATTAGACAGCCACTTAATTTAGCTCATCTGGTACATAAATCTCCACATATCCCACTCTGTGAATGCTGAAAAGGTGAATGAGGAGTTTCTGCTGTTAGCACATAGCTTTGTGGACCGACATAGTACTTCTTTAAAGAGTGTGAAGTTTGTATCCTGTGCTCTTACCTCTCCTGTTGCAAGTGGTAATATATATTGCTATTTCCAAGCAGCTTAATCTGAGAAGGGTAATGCAGTGCTAGTGCCTGTTCTGTCATTTGGTTATCTCTTCCTGAATCCTTGCCAGTAGACATACATAACATGAAATCATTCAAACATGCAAAAAGAAATAAAGGAAAACATCAGAAAAGCAGAGCACTTAGGTTTCAGACCTTGATCTTGCCATCTGAACCCTGGTTGAAACCATAAAGGATTCAACCTTGCTATGATATTGGCCTCTCTACTCTAATTCACTGCATGTCTGAAGATGTTGGAAGCCAACAGCCCAGTGTGAATGAGGTGCTGGTTTTGCTTTGTTTTTTTAAGTGGGTTGTCTGTTAAAACAACAGTTTCAGACCCACCTCAAAACTTGTATCATACCCACTTATCTCAGGATTCACAAACTAGAAATACAAGGACTGCAGAAACAACAGATATTGCTAAGTTTTCTAAAAAAAAATGAGATGTACATGTAGAATAGTGCCTCCAAGCATTAGAAAGGAGAATGGCAGAGCTAGGCTTCAAGTCTGTCATTTTTCCTGGCTGTGAATATTATGCTCCTGCACTCTACAAGTACCTGTCTCTTTCTGCTTTCTCAAAGGCTTCCACTGTTATACTCAACACCTTCAAGTCTCTTTCCACATACACTGGTACTCCAGGAGCTGTGTTACCCTATACCGTTCCCATCATGATGATACTGTGTATATTCATGTTGATACCTGTACTTGTAATCAATTGCCCATTTTTACCACAGTAAGAAGAAAATAACAGTTAAGATATACAAACTGCATGAATACAGTCTATCCATGATTTCTCATACAGGATCTGAAACGAATGTAGCAGATTTTTCTGATGGTGACAGCACTGCTGCAAAGACCAGACTTGTTCAGCTCTCCCTGTCCTTATCTAGCAGAGTCTTGACTACTGTGTGAAAATCAGTGAAACTATAGTTTGTGCATCCAGCAGGCATCTTCCTTATGTCTTCATGGATCACAGACAAGAAGAATTTAACATGGCCTTGATACATTCCTGATGTACCCTTTTCAGAAATTCTCATTTGCAAATGAAAGAAAACATATCCTAAATTGATATACCACTATTCCTGATATTCTTAGCAGGCCACCCAATGGAAATCAGTGAAGATGGTTGAACAGTCAAGCATATGATTCCATTTTGTTCCTAGTTTATGTGTGAACTGTTCTCACATATCCCCTTCCCCACCTACTGTGCCCCCTTGTCAGGATGATAACTGCAGCATCACTCCTTTCAGTGGGGAGCACATTAAGATGTCAGTTTTCCAAATGCTTGCAAGAGCTCTTACATACGATCCTGGGAATGGCAACAGGGAAGCTGATGCAGTGGTTTGTCAATACTGAGGGAGAAGATAGGGCTATGGAGTGTACTGATGTGCAGTCCTCTTGGAACGATTTAATACAATGCAACAGAGACTGTCACCTGACTTAACAGTCTACAGGGATTGAAAGTTATTTTTCCTAAAACAAGGATATATGAAGAAAAACCTCCTAGGCACCTATTTTCCTACACCCCTACTTCAGGTCTGGCTCCTTTGAGCCAACAGCTGTGAACATCAGTTGGTCATCCAAATCCATTTTCATTTGTTTGATGCATTTCTCTGATACCAACACTTTGTGAAGCAACACACCTCAAAACTCAAACCTGGGCTTTGTTACATTTTCTTTTTTTTTTTTTTTTTACACAATGGGCCCTTCCATTTGTCACTAGTCAACAGGAAGATCAGGCATACCATGTCCCTCAAAAACCCTCCTCTTATGCAAGACCTTTTCTCAAAATTATATGCATCCATTTTTTACCTCTTTTCTCTGAAACTCCTGCTCTCTGGGCCACCCACTGCCCTTTAGACAGTGGCTCTTATCCAATAACTTGCTGAGAAAACTTTTCAAATGCTGGCTTTTCCTCATCTGTAGCTTCCCAGATGCTGTTCTTCCACCTACTAAAGCCATCGGCGAAACTCCATACAACTTCAGTGGAAGTAGAATCAGGTTGCTGATGGATAACTGCCCTTATTCCACCAAATCCCAACAACAGATACAGAGTTGGTAACTGTGTGAGCCGGTTATTTTTCTCTATTGTATTATAAGAACACTGCAAAAATATCTTAACTGTATAATGCTGTACGTGTCTGTAGCACTATATTTTGAATCTTACATGAAGTACTTGGCTTTTTCCATTTTATTTCTTTTGATTTCAGGTTCACATGCCAACAACCACTTGCAGAAGAAAAATAGACTGACTCTCCTGGCCAAATGAAAAAGTACATTCCTGATATGGCATCCAGCTGAGAACTTGAGTAGGAAGCAATACACTCAACAGGCATCCTGTGTCTTCCTCCAACCCATCATCCCACCAATTTTCTGTTCTCTCAACACTCTCAGAGACTAAGCATCAGCAGTTCCTTAGAGCTTAGTCCAAGCTATTCTATTACCTTAACCATTTGTTTGTATCAGTGGTTGCTGAACACAACCCTACAAAGGCACAGATTAAGAGAGAGGAAAAGGTTTGAATACAATAAACTGGCCTGAATGTCAGCCTAGAATGCATGCTGAACTAATTTTTGAATTACAGATTTATGAAGTGTGTCTGCATCTTTCTCTCTTGGTGCGTTGTTTGATTGGTTTTGTTCACCTAGTTCTATGTGGTTAATGTCAGGTGCTGGTATGCCCACCAGAATTTCCCTGTTCACCTCTCAAGTAACAGCCTTTTCTTCCAATTCCTCTCTCTTGTCCTGCTACAACAGCAGACATTCCTGATGCAGCAGTCCTTGCAGGAATCTGGGTCTGTGATGCACCTACAACCTCAAGGAAGACTTGCAGGCTTTTCTGAATAGTCAGACATTTCTTTTGCTATGATTGACAAACTGCTGAAAAGTGGAATAAAAATATAGGCTCAACATTGGATATAATCAAAATGGCCACCAAACTCTAGAAATAAGTATAAGCCATGATAGTTAAGACTTGTGCTGTGAGCCTCCACCCGAACACAGTGACCCTGGATCTGGGAGTTCTCCTCAATCTATTATGGAGCCGGACAGATAAACAGGGGAAGTTTGACTGCTCTCATCAGAGATTTTGGTATGCCTTTAATCATCCCAAAGCGTATTAATTATGGAGACAAAAATCAAGTTTTACTTGCCAGAATGTTATTATGGAAAATCTAAAATATGATGGAAGGTAGACTGACATTCCTGTAGGCTTGCTTAATCACATATAAGTGTTTATTTACCAATGAACTCCAATGCATGTGTTGTGATGTTAAGGGCACATTTTAATGGGAACTAAGGCCCAGTTAGTTAGAATTAAACTTAGCTAGAGGTATTAAAGATAACAGGAAGGGATTCTACAGGTACATAGCAAATAAAAAAACAGACTAGGGAGAATGTAGGCCCCCTCAGGAAGCTCTCAGGAGAACTGGCTACACAGGGTTTGGAGAAGGCTGAGGTTCTGAATGACTTCTTTGCCTCGGTCTTCACTGGCAAAGGCTCTGACCAAACCACCCAAGTCTTGGAAGGCAGATGCAGGGACTGTGAGAATGAAGACCTTGGGCCCACTGTAGGAGAGGATCTGGTTCGAGACCATCTTAAAAATCTGAACGTGCACAAGTCTGTGGGTCCTGATGAGATCCATCCACGGGTCCTGAAGGAGCTGGCAAATGAAGTTGCTAAGCCGCTGGCCATCATATTTGAGAAATCATGGCAGTCAGGTGAAGTTACCAACGACTGGAAAAAGGGAAATATAACCCCATTTTCAAGAAGGGGAAAATGGATGACCCAGGGAATTACAGACCAGTCAGTCTCACCTCTGTGCCTGGCAAAATCTTGGAGCAGATTCTCCTGGAAGGCACGCTAAGGTACATGGAAAACAACAAGGTGCTTGGTGACAGCCAGCATGGCTTCACGAAGGGGAAATCCTGCCTGACCAATTTGGTGGCCTACTATGATGGGGCTACAGAACTGATGGACAAGGGTAGAGCAGATGATGTCATCTACCTGGACTTGTGCAAAGCGTTCGACACTGTCCCACATGACATCCTTGTCTCTAAATTGGAGCAACATCAATTTGATGGATGGACCACTTGGTGAATAAAGAACTGGCTGGATGGCCACACACAAAGAGTTGTGGTCAATGGCTCAATGTCCAGCTGGAGACCAGTAAAAAGTGACGTACCTCAGGGATCGGTTTTGGGACCGGTCTTGTTTAACATCTTCATCACTGACATGGACAGTGGGATTGAGTGCGCCCTCAGCAAGTTTGCCAATGACACCAAGCTGTGTGGTTCGGTTGATATGCTGGAGGGAAGGAATGCCATCCAGAGGGACCTTGACACACTTGTGAGGTGGGCTGATGCCAACCTCATGAAGTTTAACCATGCCAAGTGCAAGGTCCTACACCTGGGTCGGAGCAATCCCAGGCACAGCTACAGGTTGGGCAGAGAAGAGATTCAGAGCAGCCCTGTGGAGAAGGACTTGGGGGTGTTGGTTGATGAGAAAATGAACATGAGCCGGCAGTGTGTGCTTGCAGCCCAGAAAGCCAACCGTATCCTGGGCTGCATCAAAAGGAGCGTGAGCAGCAGGTAGAAGGAGGTGATCCTGCCCCTCTACTCTGCTCTTGTGAGACCTCACCTGGAGTATTGTGTGCAGTTCTGGTGTCCTCAACATAAAAAGGACATGGAACTGTTGGAACAAGTCCAGAGGAGGGCCACGAGGATGATCAGGGGACTGGAGCACCTCCCATATGAAGACAGGCTGAGGAAGTTGTGTCTGTTCAGCCTGGAGAAGAGAAGGCTGCGTGGAGACTTCAGAGCAGCCTTCCAGTATCTGAAGGGGGCCTATAGGGATGCTGGGGAGGGACTCATTAGGGACTGTAGTGATAGGACAAGTGGTAACGGGTCAGAACTTAAACAGGGGAAGTTTAGATTGGATATAAGGAGGAAATTCTTTCCTGTTAGGGTGGTGAGGCACTGGAATAGGTTGCCCAGGGAGGCTGTGAATGCTCCATCTGTGGCAGTGTTCAAGACCAGGTTGGATGAGGCCTTGGGTGATATGGTTTAGTGTGAGGTGTCCCTGCCCATGGCAGGGGGGTTGGAACTAGATGATCTTAAGGTCCTTTCCAACCCTAACTATTCTATGATTCTATCCAACCAATATTTGTGAATTTGCAATGTTGAATAATTCTGACTGTTGCTTTTTATTAGTAACATCCTATTGCAGAAGAGGCAACAGATCAGTCTGTGCCCTACCCATTTTCATCTTGGGCCAAAACTGTCTTAATTTATTCCATGTGCAAATGAAGTGAACTGTTTCATCAGTCGGACAAGATACCATGACCACTTGTTGCACATCTGCCACATTGAAGTATAGTTACATAAAAATGAATGTGCTTTTTTATCTATTCTCAGAAGTCAAAAAGAACTAAAATTACTTGGGTTTTAATATTCTTTTTATAATTTTATTATAATTGTTATCTTAGATAGTTTTTACCTTGCAGAATAATCACTGTGGGGCGTAGTCTGGCTTTTGGCTGCAAACCCTATCTGGAGTTCTAATAAAGCCTAGAACTAAACAAACCCCAAATTAAACCAACCAACCAACCAAATTAACAGGGTCTTCAAGATTTTAAGGAAATTCCAAATGTGACAGACATTTTGTGTCTGGGGTACAATACTCCATAGGAGCAGTAGCAGATCTAGAGTTATGGATCCTAGAGATTTTACACAAAAGAGCTCAGTAGTGGCCCACAAGGAACTCAAGAAAACCCATGTGTTTCTGATTCAGGTCAGCTTCACAGCCCCCAACCTGGCATCTCCGATAAGTAAGCTTACCAAAAAGTCTGTGAGAATATCTCTGCCAGAGATGTGGTACTATGTCACAAGAGTAACCAAATGTTATACATCTTTGTCAGACCCACAATCTCAGTGAGATGCTGTGCAGGCATCAGAGCTTCCTTTCTTTAGAAGCCTTGATAATTCATGCACAAACCTCCTCAGGTTGACCACACACCTATTTTGTCCTCAGCATTAAGCGAGCAAGAATTTTTTTTTTTTTTTTTCCCCAAAATCTCACCATAATTCTTTGCTTTTTCCATTGCACTATCCCAGTCCCACAGGAGACCCATAAAGAATCTTACCCTACAGTCATAACAGGAACAAAAATAAGTGCACTTTATCAGGACTTCTCCCTATGGGAAAAAATCCTGTTTCACACATTCTTTGACATCTAAGCAAAACTTCTGGCTGCTTCAAGCAGCCGGGGACCTCACTCTTTGTTTTGTAGAGAATACCGGTGTAACTGAGAGGCTACAAAGAGAGCCCAAACAACAAATACAAAAGAGAGAGAGAGAAAAGAGTAGTCTGACCACTAAGAAAACATGTGATACAGCATGATACCAGAGCTGGTCTTCCTTATGATAGAAGGGCACCAGCCACACTGTGGCACTCAAGCAGTATTAACAACAATGCCAAAGAATATGCAATAATGAGGAACAGGATTATGTGCTTTTCTGTGTTTCAAAATGGGGCAAGAGTTTCCAAAACAAATGTTTCAAAGGCAGAAATGCCCATGCAAACCACTGATGTATAACTCAGCATGCTGAGTGATAAATAACCATCTGGGAATTTGCTCTGCAGTGTTTATTTCTCTACAAGCCTTTTATATTATAACTGAAACCTAAACTCAGATGCTTAAAATTTCCTTTAGAACTAGATAACCATCTTAATACAGTAGATTCCGCAACTCTGCAGTGGGAGACCCTTAGGAACTGTGATGGCAACATCAACCAAGCATCCTTACAGCCTCCAAGTGAATCAGGACTGGAAAAATAATTTTGACTTTAGTCCTCTGAGTCCCTCTGCATGCTGTCTTTCTCTCCGTACCTCCCAGAAAGCCAGAAAAAAACCTGTCAGAAATTGTTATTCAAGTAGAAAGGCAAAGGTCCTGAACAGTGCAGTAAGTAGTGTAGCGAAATCCCAATGTAGCATTTGCATGTTTCTACAGCATTTTACAGCAGGGTTGCTACCTATGAACTATAACATGGTGGTTTTACAGAGCCATGGTTATGTAAAGAATTTTTTTCTCATACAAATGCACGGCATTTACATTACAAAGGGAAATCATGGAATAATAATCATAGAATGGGGTATGTGAATGGCAGGTTAAGGGAAAGAAACCACTGGACATCATATAGAGAGATGTAAAATGGCTGGACCACACTCCTGAAAGCATGAAGTTGTTTCAACAGAACTACATCCTATCAACTTCTAAACCTCTGCCAGACACCACAAAGAAAATTAGTAACATTGCAGACCAAAAAAGTGAAAAGTTAATGAAAGACTACTTAATGTAAAATGGGGTCCCCATTAGCGATGCTAATGTGACTTAAACGAGTCTTATACAGTACAATCATGGGGTGTATTTAAAACTGAAAAACAGACATTAGCGCTCAGGAAAACATGAGAGAAGTATAAATGTTAGCTGATCCTGGAATACTAAGAAATTGACCACTCAGTTTCAGTAGTTCACAAAGTAACTGCAGCTCCTCACTGGTGAGGTATATTTGAGAGGAAAATCAGAACTACACAAAGGACCTGAGTTTGTAAACAGTAAGTAAGCCACAACAGTTTCCAGCAAGATTTTATCAGCCTGCACAGATGAGGCTGAACAATGGTCTTCATTCAGAAGTGCTGGACAAGGCCTTGAGCAACCTGGTCTAGTGGAAGGTGTCCCTGACCATGGCAGGGAGGTTGGAACTAGATGACCTTAAGGTGTTTTCCAGCCTGAACCATTCTGTGATTCTATGATTCTATTGGCTATTTACAAAGGACTATGAATTAAACTAAATTAGCACTTTTTGTCTGTTTACAGGTTGTAGAGATCTTCGATGTCATGAATAGGTTAGGCAAACTTACATGACCTGTAACTTGGTTACAACCTATTTGAAATTACTGCTTTACACTTGCATTCCTCCTACTGTGATGGTTGCCCGAGTCACATGGTTTCACCTTACTGGTCAAACAGATAATTATTTCAAACACATACATGTGAAAGTGAGATCTGAGTACTTCTGGTGAGAATTCTAATACATATGTATGTCCACAATTCATGATGTTGTTCAGCAGTCTCCCCTCTAGATTTCTTGTTTTGAACACACAGTGGTGGAACACTAATAGGGGGGATCATGAATTCTGTGTAAAATTTTGTATTTTGTTTAAACAGATATTAAAAATATTTTTGGAACAGAATCTGCCTATTTTTACTTCTAACAAAATCTGGTT